AAAAAAAACCTGGACAAAACAAAGAAATGAACAACTAAAAAAAAGAGTGCAGGCTCAATATAGATGAGATTACATAACTTCTGGGGAATAAAAGGATGTGGTTTCAACTACAGTGTTCTGTGGTCTAAGTAATGTTGTGAGAGTGAGTTTGAAGAAATTATGTGCAAGTAAAATCTTCACCCATTAAACTCTGCTGTTCTATTTCTTTTCTTTCTCAGTTACTTCCTTCAACCCAACAAGTGACAGATGACAGTTTTCCTTCATGAATTTGAAAGAAAAAAAATGTGGTAATTTTTTTATTCCACTGATAAACAAAAACTGACATGAAGAGCTGTCACTGATGGTTGATGCCATTTAAGTCTTTAAAGAATTAGTTATCAACTGGAATATATATTTTTATACAGGAAAAGCACACTTTACCAAAATGTACTTAAGGCCATGTTGCACTAAAGATGGAAAAAACAGGCAAATGTAAAACACACTGTCAGTTGATCATTACTGTTTGTATCTAATATGAAACCTTCACACTGTTAGTTAATAGATATGCCTTTGGCCCCATCATGTGGCCAGTGCTGATCACTGCATTAAATGCAAATCAAGCTTCATCTTGTCTCAAATTGTTCTTTCCCTGTACTATCCAACATTATAGATGTCGACATATTGACACAGAGAAATTGATAATAATAAAGTAATACAAATAAAGAAAATGTTTAAAAAAAAGAAGAAGAAGACGAAAAAATCAACTTGTGTATTAAGGAAAAGGCAGCATTATTCTGTTTATCTCTTATGCTTGCTTTTGTTGTAATGTTTTTTATGGTAAAACACACAAACACAGCATGAGGAAAACAAAATCTTTATTGTACTTCAAAAATGGGACATAATGACAAATGTCACTTTTCAAATGTCTTTTTTATACATATCAACAAATATTCTTATTACTGCTGCATTTGTGTCACATAGAATATTTTAAAATGTTACTTAGTCAATTAGAGCTATTTCCACAATGAAACAGGCTAATGTGTAAAGTCATTACAAGCTGCCTCATGTGCCCTTCATGTTTTTTGTATTGTTGCTTGATAAGAATATGTGAGCATTTACTATTATCGATCATCTACTATGATTCGTAATAGTGAACAAACAAGCCATTGTTATGCATGGTACCGATACTGTAGTTGCACACTGACCTCTGTGCAACGGCAGCAGTTGTTTAGCAGTTTAGCAGCTCAGTGACCACACGACCTTGTGGTTTCTAAGGTTGTGACAATCAACGCAGTGAAGACCAGCTATGATGCTTGAGGCACAGCTCACATCTTCTCAACAAAACACAATGTAAGCAAAGCACCAACACTATTGAAAAAAGGCTTTGTTTAATCCCCGGGGGTAAAATTTTGATTGGGGCTTTTACAATATTGTCAATATTGTTGTTGTTATTTATTTGATATATGTCAGTATGCTTAAAAAAGGTGAATGAAGATGAGCCCAGAGAAAAGAAGGCAATGCCTTTCTTATTACATGAAGAATACCTCTTCATGTAATAAGAAAGTAACATCAATTGCAGATGTCTTACTTTGATAGGAATCATCATTGTAGAGTTTCAGCTAAGTTGAGGTCAGATATAATGTTTTGCGCAAAAGTTAAAGTTTTCCTGTGACTTGAGTGATGTTTTCTTTGTATAGAAGTTTAGAGTTAAAAATGTTATGTGCAGCAACATCTGAAAGAAGTAACACAAGGAATGTAAATGTGGTGTAGTCACATGCTGTTACTATTGCATTTATCTGGGACTCTCCAACATTTGTCCTCAGAAATGAAGAAGCTTCTCGAATGCGAGGTGAAACGTCTTCAAGCAACTTACAGAAGTCTAGAAGCTTTTCTTTCCAAGCTCCTTAGACTATCTATCACTATAGCTGACTGCTAGATACTGAATCCAGACGCTCCTGTTCCAGTTGTGTTAAGAATGTTAGTTTGAGGACTTTTTATTTGTTTGTTTGTTTTTTAAACAAAGATATACCACTGGATACTTATGAACACACCTAAAAATTGAATACCATATGATTTATCCCATGTAGCATGTCTGTCTGTGTCTGCCTGACACCAACTGCACTGGGTAGCGGATGTCTTAAAATAGGCTTAAGTTACTGTTACTCGACCTGGTGATATATACTGAAGAACAGCGTGGCAGACAGCCTGAACCTGTGCTCTTCATCACAGGATTAAATTCAACTGTTTATTTTGCTGTTTTATGTCCTGCAATGTACATTTGTCAATATAATCTGCATCACAAAAGTTTGTGAAAAGAAGCAAAAGGAAGTATCAGTTAACAGCCTGGTGTGAAAACCACGTTAGATTAAAGTCACAACTCTTTCTTTTTTTAGTGTCTCTGCTAAAGCCACACTGACATGTATGTTCTGAAGTACTGCGTGGGAGACAGCACGAACCTGTGATCTTCATCTCAGGATTTAGGTCAAAAGATAGAGAAAAGTCTGTTCACACACATTTATGTATAAACATTTGCTACCACAGGAGTGAAACAAAAATCACATGTAAAATGTGACAGCTGCAACTGATGGCTTGTCTTTTTTCTCAGCAGCTTCAGAAAATCAGCCATTTCTGTGCACATAGTTACAGATTTGTCTCCACATTTACAAATCATTTACTTTTAAATCTGAGTGAATTTCACAAGATCTTGCAGATCACGTGCTCTGCATTTTACTGCTTTTAGTTAACTGTAAAAACTTTGGCTCCACCATGTGATGAGTGCTGATACTATGCGTTTTTACATTTACTACTAAAGGTTACAGCTTTTACTAGATCATCACAGAATTATCACTAATCACCAACTAATACATGTAAAGGAAAACACCAATTCTTGTTTAATGTAAGGGTTATTATAGCGTTGTCCCTTTCTACATTATGCTTGACTTAAACGTAATGGTTTGTATGGTTGAGATACATACAGAGAATAAATGTAACACTTTGAGACAGATTCATGTAAAACATGAGGAGAGCACAGGTTTTATTGTAGTTGAAAATTGGCATGGGATCACAAAACCTGACAAATATTACTGGAAATCTAAATGTTGGTCAACAAGCTTCAAAGCATTTATTATCATTGCATTTGAAAAGACAATGAATTTTAATTGCATCACCAGGTTGCCGACCAAACACACATTGTTATACGTGTCTCACAAAGTCCATTTACTGACTTTTTCACACATGTCAAGCATATAACATTAATTATTGATGGATTTATGACACCTTACACAAGATATTCATATTAATCACACTTTTCATTAAAATACTACTTAGAAGAACTGCCTGCAGGGGAGTTTGTGCCCTTCATGTTTTTGTATTGCTTGATGTCTCTGTTGGTTCTCAGTCATCCAAAACACAAGCCGAGCAACCAAGCATATGCTGTGCAGTACAGAGAGCTCTACATTGGAGAAACTGCATAGCCACTCGACAAATACGTGACACAACATAGAAGAGCCTCCTCGACAGGTCAAGACTCAGCTGTACCTCTGCACCTAAAGGACAAAGTCACTCTTTCAGGGATGCCAATGTTCACATTTTGGACTGAAAAGACAGATGGTTGGTTTGAAAGAGGAGCAAAAGAGACCATCTATGTCCACTGTGAACGACCACCTTTGAACAGAGTGAGCAGCTTATGACACCAACTGTCAGCTACCCACAATGCAGTCCTGAGATCCCTCAATAGGTCACATGATAGGTTAAAGGTCTTACAGTGGTTTCATCCAAAACCTTTGGTGGTAATGGCCCACGCCTTTTTACACACTATGGCTAATGTCATGTCGCAGATGATTAATAGTGGGTCAATGATCACCTCCTAAGGGTTAGATAACTGGGACTTTCCACCTGATGAGAGGTAAAACGTCTTCAAAAAAATTAAAACCTTCTTTTCATGATCTTAGATCTCTTAATTCTCTACTATGATCATCAATTGTGAACAAACAAGCCAGTGTTTTATGCATTATACAGTTTTTTTTCCTTTCTCACTGACAACTGTGAAGCTTAGGTAATGTCACATGGTTTAGAGGTTTAGCAGCTCAGTGAATACAGGATATAGTTTGTGGTTTTAATGTCATGACAACACAGAAAAAAGTAGCCCTGATATCTCAAACAAAATGCACAGCCCACGTCTGCTTAACACAACACAAGGAAAGCACCATCCCTGATCAAAGCCTTTTATTTAATCTCCAAGGTTAAATGTTAAATGTTGGTTAGAACTTTTACAGGGCTGTTGTAGTTTATTTAAATTATGTCAAATAAAATGTATATTAAGTATTTAATTTAATTTAATATCTCATTATATTAAATGCCTTCCAAATACCTTTTTTATCCCTTTATGTTTTCTTCAAAATTAAAGTAATCCAGTGAGTACTTGTAAAATATGTTTACTTTTACATTAACTGCAAAGATGGAACTGCTAAACTGGCATAGTTTTTGTTAGAATGCCTGGGTTGTTGACCCATGGTTTTTGAGTTTATTATATTATTTATAATTTCTAGTCTTTGGTTTCTTTGAGTTCTGTCTTATGGTTTATGTCTCTGTCTTTTCTAGTTGCTCTGTCTCCCCTGTCAGCTGTATTCCCTTGTCTAGTTCGCGTCTCTGTGTATCCTTAGTTGCTATATCCCCGTGTCCAGTCAGTGTCTGTGTCTGCCCTGGTCCCACGTCTCTGTTCCCTCTGTTGCAGTGCGTGCGAGTCTGTGTCTTTAGTTCAGTCTGTGTCATGTTTCCTGTTTTATTTTGAAAGTCCATGTCTGATGTTAATGTATCTGGTTTCGCTTCCCCTTGTCTCGTTAGGCCTGATTTGCCCCAGCTGTGTTTCCCTCCTGTTATCCATTCCCTGATTACTCCCTCTGTGTATTTAAGCCCTGTGTTTCTCTGTGTCTGTGTTGCGATCTACTGTTTATTTTGCTGTGTGTTTTGTCAGTCCGCCGGTGTTAGTTTATTTTGATTTTTTCCAGTTATGTTATGTTTGAGTTCAGCATTAAAGCTGTTTCGGTTTAAGTTTGTCTCTGGAGTCTGCAACTTGGGTCCTATTCCTGTCTGCACACAGCCGTCACTTAACAGTTTTATTAGCTACTTGACCAAAAGTCAACGTTAACTTTCATCTTGATTTGAAATAGGTGGTGTTTCTCTTGTTTCTCTTCCATCCTGCTTCAGTCTAACCTCTGAGTAGACAACATCCACTTCAGCATCATCTGAAAGAAGTAGAAAGAGAAATCCGTGTCTTGTGTAATCAAAGGAGATTAATATTGTACATCAAAAACTTGTAGCAAGAAAGTTTTCACAAACATTCACAATGACACAATATTTGTAGCTTTGGCTCTGTACATCACCACAGTGGATTTTAAATCAAACAAAAAACTGTGATTGAAATAAAGCATTTAGTTTTAATTACCTTTAATTTAAGGCATTAGGCCCAAAATTGGATAATTATTGGGGGTAGCAATTTAACGAGATAATTGCGATTAATTAGAAAGAAAGGGGGAAAAACGCATTTAATCACACTTTGCATTCCAAGCAAAGGGGAACTTTTATCAATGTTGGATTTATATAGCGCTTTTCAAGGCACCCAAAGCACTTTACAATGCCACTGTTCATTCACTCACTGGTGGAGGCAAACTACGGTTGTAGCCACAGCTGCCCTGGGGCAGATTGACAGAAGCGAGGCTGCCATATCGCGCCATCGGCCCCTCTGGCCAACACCAGTAGGCGGTAGGGTAAAGTGTCTTGCCCAAGGACACAACGACCAGGATAGAGAGCCCGGGAATCGAACCGGCGACCTTCCGGTTACAGATACGCTTCCCAACCCCCTGAGCCACAGTCACAGGTTGTTTCCTGGTATAACAATGATGCACACATCAGAGCTACAAAGAATCAGAAGAAAGCATGTTGCTAGGACTGATTGGAGGCAAATTTCATTTCAAAAGACTACCTGACGGAAGCCTTGAAAAAAGCGTGGTTTCGTGCAAACTGTGTAAAAAGGAGTTTGGATACCACTGACGCGCTTCAACCTCACGGTACCATTTAAATGCAAAATATGTTGCAGCGAGCACAGAAACTGTGGGAGCTGCTAGCTCCAGCAGTGTCAGTTTGAGTACCAACAATTGTGTTGACAGCCTAAACTTGATGAAATGACTGGCTTCAGGAAAAAAATCAGACATCAGACAAACTTACAAGTTCTCTCGCAAAATGGATTGCTCTGGACAGTAGACCATGATCAGTGGTAGAAGATAAGGGGTTAGAAAATGTGCTACAGTTAGCATCAGGATCTAACTTTCCAACTACTTTTACTTGAAGACTATTTCAAGTAAAATTCACCAGCTTCATAACACTGAAAATCAAACAAAATTAGATGCATTACAGACAGCCCTGCTAATGTGGAAGAACTACACCAGGAGCAAACAAGACTGGGGCAACAGAAAGAGCCACTTATACAGGATGTTTCCACACAGTGGAATTCAGCGCTGGATATAGTTTGTCTACTAAAAAATCAAGAGGGTTTTTTTGCTGCTTTGGACAAACAAGCAGCAAAAACAGCGCTATACAAATACAGGCCATTTACCATTTACCATTTACCAAAAGCACAAGCTAGTGATTTTAACTCCATCAGAGCTGATAAACTTCCAAAAGCTGGCGACTGTTCTTGAGCCATGCAGGTAAATAAAACTATTTTTTTAACTTATTGTTGCTGTTTCTTCAAAAAGATCCATAATTAATAGTCATTGTGTAGATTAATAATTGCTTTCTTGAGCTGTCTACTACAGATTTGTGACTGAGCTTCTTGGAGGTGAGACATATGTCTCATGTTCAGTGGTTTTACCTGCTTTCTGCCACCTGCATCACACCGTGGAGGTCTCCAATTATGACTCAAACTACATGGTGAAATTTAAGACTGCCTTCACAAAGGACCTATCCCAACGTGTAGCTACACTCAACCATCAAGATAGCTACTGTGCTTGACCCACGCTTTAAGGATTTCAAGTGTGTTGCAAGGGGAGCGAGATGAGGTTTGAACCAACCTTGAGGCCCTGCTGCAGGAATAATGTAAAGATGCCACCACAAAGGAGCCAGCAAAGACAAAGTGCCTCCTCCTCTCTTCATTGTCTTTAGACTCTGATTCAGATGAAGAAGCCCTGAGTAACAGGGCCCTGAGTCTGTACAGAGCAGAATCCACCATCAGCGACAGAAAGACTGCCTGCTGCAGTGGTGGTCAGTCAAGCAGGGACCCACCCACAGCTGTCTGTCCTGGCCCACAAGTATCCTGCCACTTCTATCCCATGTGAGAGACTCACATGTTTCTACCTTATTTTTTTAAGAAGATAAACTGCACTTTATGTTGAAATTTTTATTATTATTATTATTTAAAGACAATACCACTTTGAAAATGTACGTAAAGGACTTAAAATAGCACTTTCTTTTTAAGTCTGAACAAATTTTGGCCAGGGATATTGTTTTTTGTTTCTCTGTTTTGAATTTAAATGCAGTTTAAACCCTATTTTTTCTTTCCAGAAATTAAAAGAGGTGGAGTTTACAATATTAATGTCCATGTCTATTATTTGATTCGGTCACCTAATAAAACCCTTTTAAATGAAAAAAATGGCGCCTTGGGGCAAATTTTCTTGTGCGATTAAATGCGATTAATCAAGATTAATTACAAAGCCTCTAATCAATGAATTACACAATGGATGGAAAAGTAGCATCATGACCAAGTTCTGTTTCCTTTTTATTTCTGGAAAAATGAAGCAGACATCATATCTAAAGTCATAACAAAGCTCTAAATTTGTATTTTATAGCTTTTTGATGTAATTTTAAATATAATGCTCAAGTAGACGTCAGTACAAATAAAGGAGGCCATCATTCTGTGGAAAAAGCACAGAAATAAACCAGAGAGATGGCAAAACATTTAGGAGTGGCCAAACAACTTTGTATATTCTTAAAAATGTACAAGGTTGAGCTGCAGTGCCATCTCAAATACACCATTCTTCTTCTATCCAAGAGATATTCTCTGACCCCACCTTGATCCCATCTGTGATGTGTCACTCCAAAGAACACGTCCACGCTCTAGAGTTCAATGGTGGTGTGCTTTACACAACTGCTTGCAACACTTTGCATCAACACTTTGCACTGGGGGGGTTAAGGCTTGGAAACCCATTCCATGAAGCTGAGTTGGGGGCCTCTGAGTACTGTGCCCCACAGCATTCACTTCCAATTTCTTATAATACCACTATCAGTGGTCTGTGGAATATTTAGTAGTGAGGAAATTTCATGACTGGACTTTTTGCACAGGTGGCATCCTGTCACGGTACCATGATGGAATTCCTGAGAGCTCCTTAGAGAGACCTAATCCTTCAAAAATGTTTATATAAGCAGTCGGCATGACTAGGTGTTTGATTTTATACACCTGTGACCATGGAAGTGACTGGAACACCTAAATTCCATTATGTGGATGAGTGAGTAAATAGTTTTGGCAATATAGTGTATATATTTACTCCAGTTATTTTCATCCTTTTTGCCACTACCATCTATCCACATATGATCCCTAACACTACCTACACAACACCTCATGACCTCGACAATATCTAAAGAAGTCAAGAACATAAAGAGATGAGTGTATCACGGTCAAGGTCTACAATCAAGACCATTCAGGAATCAACCTTCCTGAGTGGAAATAAATAACATATATAACAAGCATTCATAACAAGCTGAAAACCACTGGTTACACTCAAGCAGAGTAAGGCGAGGTTTGATCTAAAAAGAGCCTGCATGTTTCTGAAAGAAATTTTCTGGACATATGAAACCAATATTAATTTGTATCAGAAGGGAGGAGGAATGTTTGGAAAAGGAGTGAAATCGCTCATGAGCTTAAGCATACCACACTGTATGACTAGGTGAAAGTAATGTTACGGGCAAATCGATCGTGTTTATTGATGATGCGACTGCTGGTAGAAGTACATGATGAATTCTGAAGCAAACAGGGCTATTTTCTCTGATCAGTTTCTGTCAAATACTACATAACTGATTGGGCAGTGCTTCACATTGCAAATAGATAATGACCCATAACATACTACAAAAGAAGCCCAAGATTGTCTTAAAGCAAAGAGATGGGATATTATTCAATGACCAGTCAGCCACCTTATACATAATTGATTGATAGCCTGCAAACTAGCAGCAACAGAAGGTGGCCCTGCAGTGCAGTCCTGGAAGAGCATCACAAGGAAAGAAAATACCATGGTAATGTTTATGGGTTGAAGGCAGTCTTACTGCAAGACTGAAGTATAAAACAGATCCTTAAACTTTAAATCATGTTAGTTTTCTAGTAAATTTTGATTCTCTGAAAACGAGAGACTGTAAAAAAAAAACCTCCACTGGCCAGTGGTACCCTCAGCATCAAGGTAGATAGACCTATGTTCTAACTTTCAAAATCCCACGTCACTTTGTTCTCAAAAGTTGTGATTTTTTTTTGTAGATACACGAAAGATATCAATTTGAAACTCCTACATTGCTTTATTCTCGAGTTATCACAATGATAAACCCACCTGCCCACTGCTTGTCAGGATGACAACAATAACCCATCAGCCTTCTACAGCTGAGGAGAAAATGACTGTAATTACTAAATATCTGATAAAAAAGTTTTGTAAAACTCATTGAATTAAAGGTGAAACTCAGCATTGCAATCACATATTGATTATTTTACTTAAAATCCCTTGTGGTCCTGTACAGAAGCAATACAAATAATGGCGCTTACTGTAAAGGTTTTATAACAATTTGGCATACATTCCTGTGTGGTACTCACTGAGATAAAATTGATAGCAGCAATATAGTTCATTTAAAATATTACCTTCATTAACAGTCATAGTGCCGGTCTTTTGGAATTTCCGGACACCAAGAAACACAGCCAGAATGAGTAGAATGGCAATGCTTCCTACCACGGCCACAGTCACAACACAGTGGTCAGAAATATTACCTAGAAATTGAATACATTAGGAAGAATGTACTGAGATAATGGGGATATAATGGCCTCAAGTCACTTGCAATTTATGCTTCAGTATCTATAAGGTAATTGGTCTATAGACCTATAGGATTGATTTTTTTTAACTCAAATAAATAACTTAATTAGAACAATGCCTATAAATACATAAACTAAACAAAATAATTAAAAATATAAAATAAATGAATATCTAAGTAGAACATTTTTTTATATTACCTGCACATCTTATAAGGTGGATGATGGTTTGTTCTCTGCTTATATTGTTTTGGACAATACACATTAGCTTTCCCAGCAG